TCCAGCATCTGCAGTTCCTACTATATCAGATCACCCATTTCTGTTTTCATCCAGCATTCGTACACTTTGCAGCAGAAGTGTAGTACCCCTTCTCCTATTTTCTTCACTCTTCCAATCCATTTCTGTACAAGAAACACAGTGGCCTGTCACAATTGCTTGGCAGCTACTGTACTAACTCACCTCAAGTGTAATTCATGATTGTCCTGCTCTGAATAGGTTGGTTTCATGTCTGAATCAATCTGGTGGATTTGTGAAGCTGTCAGGTTCAACCTCATGAATTATCCCAAATGGGATGTGAGACTGGGACCACGAGAAGCCTGTTCCTTGATACCTGGCCTTGTGCTGTCTCTGGAGTTCACTCACATTCACACAGTCACAGAATTGTTACAGCACATAAGGAGACCATTCGGCCCATCCTTTCCCTCCCTGGTTCTATAACCTAGTGTCAACCGCCTGTTTATTTCCCATATCCTGGCACACCATTTCTAACCAAATAATTGTCCAATTCCCTCTTGAATGCCTCAATTGAGCCTTCCCCCAACCACATTTCCAGGCAGTGCATTTCAGATCCTAACCATTCACTGGGTGATAAAGTTCTCTCTCACATCGCCCTGGCTTCGTTTGCACATCAATTTAAATCGATGCTATTTCATTCTGTTTATTAACGAGCAGAAACTCCTTGTCCCTAACTACTCTATCCAGCCAGCTCATGATTTTGAAAACCTCATATCAAATCTCCTCTCAGCCTTCTTCTCTCCAAGGAGAACTGTCCCAACTTCTTCAAACTTTCCTCAGAACTGAAGCTTTTCAATCCTGGAATCAATCTTGCAAATCATGTTTCATGTTTCTGTACATATATCATTGTTTGTATTATGTGTCTGTTCCATGGAATTCGGTGAACCAGTGTTTTTAAAGACAGCACCAAAACATCACTCTGTGCAGGTTCAGTGGCCAGAACACATGATAACAGTATGTTGAAATTTCATTGTATGTGAGGACACTGTAGAGATGCTGCCTTAAGTTTCAGAAGCAAATTCAAGTCAAGTCTTGAGAGATATGCAAGTCCACACCCATTACCGGTACAGTAATGTTTCTCCTTACAATTATACATGTGGTAGGATTCTACAAATTGTACACTGTTGGGGAGCCTAATTATGTATTTCAACCATGTCAAAGTTTTGTTTACAGTTTTGTTCTTGGCATCTCAGGTGCACACTTTCATGAAAGGACGGAGACCCTGGACAAGGTGGTGTGAACAGTGTTTAGGGGAGAAATGGTCACTATAAGTGTTCAGTAGATAAGACTTTTGTGAAGAATTACTAGTTTTGGACATTTAATGAAACGTGCATGAAGCAATTTATTGGTGCAGTCAATTATAAACCAGCTTGTAACTAATGAACTGCAAATCTAAAGCAGAACAAGGTGACAGGTTGTACCTCCCTAAACCAGATCTCTCTGGTCTGGCAACTTCTGTGATCCAGGACCATACTTCAATTCTCGCTTCCCCTGTCACGGCATCTAACAGCTCTGCATGATCCTCATTCAGAGCACGCTTTGTTACACTTTGCCCATTTCGGATACATTAAATTCTATTTTGGCTTTGAATTGAAAAATCATTTGTACAATAGGCATGCAATTGATCCAAGTCAAAGTGAGATCTTTATTGAGTTCTGGAATAAAGTGTTCGAGCTTTAGATATACATGATATTGTTAGTGGCTTAAAGGGTCTCATCAGGATTTAAGTAACTGACTTTGCAGTAAAATCAGTAGCTCGCATTTAATTTACGATTGTTTTGACCCTGACAGATGGCCTCCCGTGATCCAGTATATTCTCTGGTGCAGCAAAAGCTCCTGAGGCTACTTGCTTAGGGAGCTATAACCAGCACTATGCTTCAAAACCAGTCAATTTCGTAGAGTCATGGAGATCCATAGCACAGAAAAATCCTATTTTCCAGCACTTGGCCCTTAACCTTGTGTGCCTTTGCCTTTGCAAGTGAATATCTAAATACAAAATACTTTCAAACATCTCGCTTTTAATTTGTTGGACTTTTTGAGTTGTTATATGAGGTGGAGTAAGTATTTATAGCAGTTGATAATGTACTGAGCTTTCATCACTGCATTATATATTTATCATGTTGCAGTTCTGTCAAATTTGCTTGTAGGAAGCAGGAACAGTGTCACCCATGGTCATGTAGAAACAACAGAAAGCACCTATTATGGTCCATTATGTGCTTGAATTATGGAAACAGGATTTTATGGAGAAACTCAGGTCTGGCAGCACCTGAGGACAGAGAGACAGAGTTCATTGAACAAGATTCATACCACACTCAATATGTTAACTCTGTTTTTCTCTCTACATATGCTGCCAGACCTGCTGAGTTTCTCCAGCACTTTCTGTTTTTATTTCAGAGAACACAACACCGCAGTATTTTGATTTTGTTTTGAGTTATAGAAACTTTAGTTTGGAGCCTAAATTTGCTCTCTGTTAAAAGAATGAATTGCATGGTGATCTGAAAATGGGATTCAATCTGGATAAATGTGAGATGATGCACTTGGGCAGGACAAACACGGCAAGGGAATAGATGATGAATGGTAGCACCCTGCAAAGATCAGCGGGACCTTGGTGTGCATGTACACCAGTCCCTTAAGGTAGCAGGACAAGTGGATAAAGTGGCGAAGAAGGTTTATGGGATCCTTGGCTTTATCAGCCGAAGCATTGAGTTTAAGAGCAGGGAGGTGATGTTGGAACTGTATCAGGAGTTGATTATGCCACAGCTAGAGTATTGTGTGCAGTTCTGGAATTCGCTTTATAGAAGAGAATTGTTAGCACTGGAAAGGGTACAGAAATTTACGAGGATTTTGCGTGGTCTAGAGAGTTTCAGTTATAAAGAGAGAGTAGACAGACTGGGATTGTTTTCTTGGAACAGAGGACACTGAGGGTGATATGATTGAGATGTATAAATTATGAGGGGAATAGATAGGAAGAAACCTTTCCTTTTGGTGGAGAGATGAATGACCAGGGGGCACACATTTAAGGTAAGGGGCGGGAGGTTTAGAGGTGGTGTAAGGAAACGTCTTTTCACCCAGAGGATGGGAAGAATCTGGAACTCACTGCCTGTGAGGGTGGTAGAAGCAGAAACCTTCATAACATTTCAGAATAATTTAGATGTGCACTTGCGATGCCAAGGCTTACAAGGCTAAGGGCCAAGTGCTCGGAAAATGGGATTAGAATAGTTAAGTGGTTGTTTTTGACTGGTGCAGACACAATGGCTGAAGGGCCATTTTCTGTGCCATAGACCTCTATGACTCAATGACTGTTTTAAAAAATTATACCGTTTTGTCAAATTCCTGAACTGCTCTTCGAAATAGTCCACATGTGCTTCTATCCCATTTATAAGGTGCAGGATTCCTTTGCTCTGTTTATGAAGTAGCATTGTCACCTGTGAAAATCTTCCTTACTCTGCCTGTTCTCAATTACAGTCTGTGTCTCTCAATTTAATCATTTAATGAAAATGTTATAATATTTCTGTTTTAGCACCAAGTTTTGCTGTTAATTATTCATTCACCTGTGGGACATGGACTAGCATTCATTGATTTCTATTATTGGATAATTTATTGTGTTAGTAGAATAAAATTACTTTGCATAAACTACGAAGAACCTTTCCCACAACTTAAATCTGCTCAAATGCTTGATGGCAAGATATGAAACATGCAGTAGAGACTCAGTGAAAATTACTATTAATGTACATTGAAGAAGCTATTTCAGGAACATACTGTTGGATAGTCCACAATGCATTTTTACTAATTAGCTCTGAAAATTGAATACTTTCATACTTAATGGAAAGTAATGATTGTTTTGAAAGATGAACAAGGTGGATTAGCAACCTCAGCTATTGTTATGTATAGCATACAAATGTATACAAAGTTTCTAGAAGTAAAGAACCTGAGAATTGCTGAAGAAAGGCACATTTTCATCGAAGATTTTTGGCTTGTATTCAAACAATTCACAAGAAATACCAAAGAGAAGTGAAAAAGACATTTATTCCATTTGACAAGAGGTATATCAGACTCAAAATGTTAACTCTTTCTTTCTCTAAGATGCTGCCAGACCCGCTGAGTTTCTCCAGCTGTTTCTGTGTTTGTTTCAGATTTCCAGCATCTGCAGCATTTTGTTTTCGCACAAAAAGTGATGAGTTTGTAAAAAGAACAAAAACTGTGATACTGCATAATGTTATATTTTCAGCACAGTAAAGACCCCAATCTCTCTGACCCGTTACTGCAATAGGAAGGTTCAGGCTCAGTTTCAGAGGAAGCTGTTATCAGTTGTGCTGAAAACATTGACCTGGAATTTCTCCTTCAACAAAACTTTCTGATGATTATGCCAAAATTTGGAAGATTGAGGGTCCAATGAAATTTGCACTGAACAAAACATTTTGCAAATTGCTAAATGGAGAAGTTAGCCACAGATGCAATTTCACACATCTGTTATGGTGTGGATTTGTTTGTGTCAAGAAGTTCGATCTTCAAGTTGGCAAAGCCTTACCTTTTGAATGTCTTACCTGTTTGTTGTCCCTTCAATTGAGCTAACAGGCAGTACATTTATAAATTCTGGTATACCTTCCACATATATCAAGTAAGTGGGAGATCTTTGGTTTCATCTCGTGAAGAGAGTGCAGGGCAGACTTCAACACAGACTTGCTTTTCAAGAGCTGTGTAAGCCAGGAAAGACAAGTCCAGCTCAAGAAAAACAGAAACTAAATACAAATTGTACATTTCACAGTTCCTGATTCCACATCCAGTTTTTATGCAGATGAGAATTCTGTACCACTTTTCATTGATTGATGAACATTGATGAACACAGATAAACATTTTTATAAAGATAGAAAACCATCTGCAGCGCCAGCTTTTGTTTTAACCTAGCTAGCCTGTATTGCCCACACTTGTAATGAAAATTAAGAGGAGCATATTATTTGGAAGTAATGGGCTATTTGTTTGTCCAGCCACAGACTGACGCTGAGAAACATTCGGAAAGGAACTCTGCTTGGTCTGGTGAAGAAATAAAGAGATCAGACTGTGGATCCGACAGCGGAATAAAGATGGACTCCAGCTCAAAATGGAGGCGGAACCTGTCAGATGTTTCTGATGAGTCAGAGAAAGGTGGCTCAAACAAGAAGACCGCGGTCATTTCCCAAACAGGATCCTGGCGTCGGGGGATGACAGCACAAGTTGGCATCACCACACCAAGGGCTAAAACATCTGCCAACACCCTTAAAGCGCATGGAACCGGTGAGGAAAGTTAACCATTTGGTTTCCAGCTGGGTTTGCTGCCTCTTTAACCACAGGTGGGGGCCACAATTTCAAAAGGTTTAGGCTCCAGTGATTGTTTGTCCGTATTTCTGCATATTTTATATAGCTAGGTATAATAATTTTCAGTGATTATGATCCTTAAAATTTTTGAAATATTTTGCAGACTTCCTTCTTGTCTCAATTCCAACTTGTTCGCGTTTTAAGCCAACTCCATTTTTGAGCATCGTTCCCTGACACAGACAATCTCAGTATTTCTGTGTCTTTGAAATTGAAGCAGCCAGTCTTCAAATTTGTGTTAAACTAAGCATAGACGGTCGATTTGAGTCGATTGTCGCTTACTGCTGTGCAGCCCCTCTCGCTGAGCATCTCACTGCCCTGTACCCATCCCCTGAATCATCAGCCCCTCTTGCTCAGCATCTCGCTGCCCTGTACCCATCCCCTGAATCATCAGCCCCTCTTGCTGAGCATCTCGCTACCCTGTACCCATCCCCTGAATCATCAGTCCCTCTTGCTGAGCATCTCACTGCCCTGTACCCATCCCCTGAATCATCAGCCCCTCTTGTCCATCACACCACTGGCTGCCCTGCTCTCGGAGTGAAGCAGCAGGTCGGGCTGTGTGCTAGGTGGTGTAGGGGTAGGCTGGGGCACTCAGGCACAGACCGGTGTGGCAAAGGACAGGGCAGCGAGTGAGCGGCAAGTGCATGACAATGGCACCAGTGGCACCAACATCCCATGTGAGCAGATTGACAGGAGACACAGTGCTTTGTCCCAGAGGAATTTGGAAGTGATCTCCTTCTGTCTACATCCAGAAGGCTTTCAAAGATTGCTGCTCACCCCAGTTGCATGTTGCTGGGAAGTGACGGTATTGTGTCGGAAATGGAGGTTCACTTAGATCACACTGAAACATTCTCATTCCAGGCCGCTTTTCAGAGGCCCCACAATCTGACTCTGAGTTTTATATGTTCTCAAAAATTGCACTCCATGATTTAGTTAGAAGTGCATCAGAGCAAGTGACCATCTGAGGATTGGATGGGAAAGAGAAGAAAGATAAAGTTGTCATTGTCCTACCAGACCATGGGGCTGCTCTCTCATTACAGAGGGAGAGGGAGGGAGACAGAGAGAGAGAGACAGACGACTGGTGGTGGTTTAACCTAAGGGTCATCGTGCCTGAGGAGAGGTTGAGAAGGAGAGTCATTCATGGTAACCTCAGTTGGTGTGGGAATGAAACTGCACTGTTGGTGTCACTCTGTATCACAAACCAGCTGTCCAGCCAACTGAGCTTCAATCTCTGCCACACCCTGCAAAGAAACAAAGCTTCAAAGAGTGAACTCAAGTACTAGTTGTCCTGTAACTCTTGCAGCCTGACCCTTGGCTGCCATCTTACAGGTTCTCATTGTTGACATGTTCTTGGAGCTGAAGCACATGATCCTAGGAACATGGCTGATTCAGCAGGCTGCACCTTAGCTGCTGTCTGCTTGGTTCAGATCTGTTTCTCTGAAAGGCAAAATCTAAACTTGGAGCTGAGTCAGGTTTTTGCCGTATTACTCAGCCAGAAAGAGGGAATTATCTTCTTCATTCTGAGTTAGATAGCATTTAAAGAGCTTTGCTAAGTTCGATCTCAAGGCTTTGATCTAGTCCTGTTGGTGGTATGTCTAACCAGTTAAACAATGCATTTGCTTCACCGGCTCCTTTCTCGAAAGGATTTCTGTAAAGTTCACATAACCAGGGTGTATCCTTGTATAATGTCTTCATTTAGTATTGGACTTGCTTTAATGTGTCCCTAGGCACTCACCTGAGACTTAAAGCTCAACTTCTACCTACCCTCCTGACAAAAACCAACTGAGATCACGCTCAACATCTGTTCCATTCACCAACCCAGTGCTTCAGTTGACATAATGATTGAAATGAGAGGTCCAAATGTTCTAAGTAAATACCCAAATGTGTTTTGCACAAATTCGCAGGTACTTTGGCTGGACTGGCAAATAAATTCAGCAGTGACAAAAATATTATTGAAATTTGCATTATGTGTTAATGGAACAAAGTATTTCCTTCTTTCCACAGCAATTAACTACTTGTTCTGCAATTACTTTATGAGATGTCATAAAGGTATTGTATTGCTAAGACTAAATTAGTGATTTCATAAAACTGAATGGGATTTTACAATGATTTATAGTCAGCTGATGGAAAGTCAAGCTCAAGAACATGTCAAAATATTCTTGTAATACACAGGATAATGATCACAGTTCATGCTGTCACCCCGTATTTTGCCTGCCAAATAAATAAAATTCTCACTTAAATTCTGTGCCTATCCGCTATGCTCTCTCTAAGTCATTTTAATCATTTTAAGAGTGATTTTACTTACATCCCAAATTAATATAATTCACTAATATTTCATCTACTCTTCTAATCATTTTGAATTATTTTAACTTATAAATTTTTGACTTCATTTTTACCATTATTCATGTTGATTGTTACTTTTGCAAAACTTGCACGTTGTGGCAAATAAGCTACAAAGACCCTACAAAGAAGCAATTTTGACGTTTGAAACAAACGATGACAGATGAAACACATCTGTGCACCCAGCTTGTTTCATATGACTTTGTTATGCTTCTCTCGGAATCAAGTATTCTCCCGGGAGAGCTGAGCAACCAGATTTAAAACCCCAGGCCAAGTCAGGGGTAGAGAAAGCCTCTCTCAGACCCACTGAGGAATTCAATCTGGTTCTGATAACTCAAACTTGGGACTGAATCTTTACCAGAAATTGGCAAAGTGACAATTTGATGAGTTTCATGGACGGTTTCTCACTGTGAACTCTGGCAAGTTTTCTCAGGCTATATTCTCAAACACATCTCATCAACTATGAACCACACATCACATTCTACTTGCTACAGGTGGCATTTCTGACCATTGCCAGAGATTTCTTACACTGACACCAAGTTTAAACCCCTGGGGTCAAGCTGCCCTGCATGGGGGAGGCAATGGCCTAGTGGTATTATTGCTGGACTGTTAATCCAGAGACCCAGATAATGTTCTGCGGACCCGGGTTTGAATCCCGCCATATTGAATTGAAGTCAATAAATATCTGGAATTAACAGTGTAATGATGACCGTGAATCCATTGTCAATTGTTGGAAAAACCCATCTGGTTCACTAATTTCCTTCAGGGAAGGAAACTGCCATCCTTACCTGGTCTGACCTACATGTGACTCCAGACCCACAGCAATATGGTTGACTGTTAACTGCCCTCTGGGCAATTAGGGATGGGCAATAAATGCTGCTTAGCCAGCGACACCCTCATCCCTCATATATAAAACGAAAAAGAGTGGCTAAAGTAAACGTTGGCCCTTTAGAGGATGAGAAGGGGAATTTAGTTATGGGATATGATGAAATGGCCGAGGCATTGAACAGGTATTTTGTATCGGTCTTCACAGCGGAGGACACTAATAACATGCCAGTAATTGACAAAGAGACGAAGGTAGGTGAGGACCTGGAAACAATCATTATAACGGAAGAGATAGTGTTGGGCAAGCTAATGGAGCTAAGGACTGATAAGTCTCCTGGCCCTGATGGAATGCATCCCAGGGTACTAAAAGAGATGGCGGGAGAAATAGCAGGTGCGCTGGCGGTAATTTTCCAAAATTCGCTGGACTCTGGGGCAGTCCCAGCAGATTGGAAAACAGCAAATGTGACACCACTGTTTAAAAAGGGAAGTAGACAAAAGATGGGGAATTATAGACCGGTTAGCTTAACCTCTGTAGTTGGGAAGATGCTTGAGTCTATTATCAAGGAAGAAATAGCAAGGCATCTTGATAGAAATTGTCCCGTTGGGCAGACGCAGCATGGGTTCATGAAGGGCAGGGCATGCTTGACAAATCTTTTGGAATTCTATGAAGACATTACGAGCGAGGTGGACAATGGGGACCCAGTGGATGTGGTGTACCTAGATTTCCAAAAGGCCTTTGACAAGGTGCCGCACAAGAGGCTACTGCATAAGATAAGGATGCATGGCATTAAGGGTAGAGGATTGGTTAACTAACAGGAAGCAAAGAGTGGGAATAAATGAGTGCTATTCTAGCTGGCAGTCAGTGACTAGTGGTGTGCCTCAGGGATCGGTGTTGGGACCGCAATTATTTACAATTTATATAGATGATTTGGAGTTGGGGACCACGTGTAGGGTGTCAAAGTTTGCAGATGAGACTAAGATGAGTGGCAGAGCAAAGTGTGCAGAGGACTGTGAAACTTTGCAGAGGAACATAGATACATTGAGTGAGTGGGCAAAGGTCTGGCAGATGGAATACAATGTAAATAAATGTGAAGTCATACATTTTGGTAGGAGTAATAGTAAAAAGGATTATTACTTGAATGGTAAAAAGTTGCAGCATGCTGCTATACAGAGGGACCTGGGTGTCCTTGTGCATGAATCACAGAAGGTAGGTCTGCAGGTACAACAAGTAATTAGGAAGGCAAATGGAATTTTGTCCTTCATTGCTAAAGGGATTGAGATTAAAAGCAGCGAGGTTATGTTGCAGCTGTACAAGGTGCTGGTGAGGCCACACCTGGAGTACTGTGTGCAGTTTTGGTCTCCTTACTTGAGAAAGGATGTATTGGCACTGGAGGGGGTGCAAAGGAGGTTCACTAGGTTGATTCCGGAGTTGAGGGGGTTGGTTTATGAGGAGAGACTGAGTAGATTGGGATTATATTCATTGGAATTCAGAAGATTGAGGGGGGATCTTATAGAAACATATAAAATTATGAAGGGAATAGATAAGATAGAAGTAGAGAGGATGTTTCCACTGGCAGGTGAAGCTAGGACAAGAGGGCATAGCCTCAAGATTAGAGGGAGCAGATTTAGGACTGAATTGAGAAGGAATTTCTTCACCCAGAGGGTTGTTAATCTATGGAATTCCTTGCCCAGTGAAGTAGTTGACGCTACTTCAGTAAACGTTTTTAAAGATAAGGTAGATTTTTTTTGAACAATAAAGGAATTAAGGGTTACGGTGAGAACGCGGGTAAGTGGATCTGAGTCCACGAAAAGATCAGCCATGATCTTATTGAATGGCAGAGCAGGCTCGAAGGGCCAGACGGCCTACTCCTGCTCCTAGTTCTTATGTTCTTAATACAAAACCCTCTCTCGCTAATGTACTGATTTCATCCCTCAGTTTTCTTTCTTATCGCTCCTAAATATAGAATATCCTTGGATTTTCAGTTCTCAATTTTGGTCACCCTGTAGCCATGTCCCTGTAATTAAATCCATTAAATCGTACACACTTGCTTCAATTTGTGTTTGTAAGTCACCAACCATATTGTGAATGTTATATGCATTCCAATAGAATGCCTTTCATTCAGTCCTTTCAACGCTATTTACCTATTTGATGCTTGTCATTACCTCATCTGTCACCTGATTCTGCTAACTTTTACTAATTTTGCTTCTATTGGAATTCTCCTCTCTCTTAGATTTCCAGCTCCTGCCAATCCAGTTTAAACCCTTCAGTAGCACTTCAGATCCCCCTGTGAGGATATTGGCTTTGGTACTGCCGAAATGCACCCTGTCCTTTTGTAATTTTTTGCTCTACAAATGTACAACCGAGACTTCAGTTGCTACTCAAATCCTAAAACTCAGAGCTCAAGCTTGTGGAGCTGTGATTCCTCTTACATATGTATTCATGTCAGACATATGGCGCTTCTTTGACTTCCCACATACCACAAGCTGTGCCTTCCACTCAGCTGAGCTGCCCTGCCGTATCTTAGCGGGACCAACTACTTATTACCGGTAGAATAGCTTACCAACCACTACTTTTGCCGCACCAAAATAGGAACCATGTATTGGATGGTGAAGGTTGCAGATAAAAATGGGGAAAAGAAGTGCACCTCCTCCCCCTTTCATCAATCACCAACTCACTCAGCCCTCTGCATTTATCCTCTTTTGAGTCACACTGTGACAGCCAGACTAAATTGGTTTACCTCTTTAAGTCATTAGCAAGGCTCCATTTGAGCTTGTTTACCCCGACTAAGGTTAAAAAAGAACTCATCTTGCTTTCTTGCCTTAATTAACTTCTTAGCCCAGTTAAAAAAAAAGTGAAAAGCTAGATACGGAGTTTAGAGGGATATTGACACTCAATAACTCCTCACTCACCAAAGTCACTCTGCTCAAAACTTCCACTTCACTGTTTACTTGAATACAAAAGGAGATAATTTTGATAAAATATATTGCTCACTTGCACAGATTGTAATTGGAAAGAGGAACCTAATTCTAGCGAGCTGGCCATCATGCAAATATATACAAGAGGGATTTCTATTGTTTGCTGTTGAGAAGCTCCACTTGCTTTGAAGACTCAGAAAACTTACTTTGTAAACTTGCTTCCTACTACAGGATCTGTACTGGATTGTGCCCAGTGTGCCCTTTCAAAATGGGTGTGTTTGAGTCAGGTGAGAAGTAAAGAAAGAAACAAACACTGAGGTGTAGAGTCATAGAGATGTACAGCATGGATATAGACCCTTCAGTCCAACTTGTCCACACTGACCAGATATCCTAAATTAATCTAGGAACAAAAACAGAAGTTGCTGGAAAAGCTCAGCAGGTCTGTCAGCATCTGTGAATAAAAAATCAGAGTTAATGTTTCAGGTCTGGTGACCCTTCCTCAGAAGAGTCTAAACTCACCTAGTCCCATTTGCCAATACTTGGCTCATATCCTTCTAAACCCTTCCTATTCATATACCCATCCAGATGCCTTTTAAATGTTGTAATTGTGCCAGCCTCCACCACTGCCTCACTCCATATACACACCACCCTCTGCGTGAAAAAGTTGCTCGTTAGGACCCTTTTATATCTTCCCCCTCTGACCTTAAACTATGCCCTAGTTTTGACTTCCCTGCCCTGGGAAAAAAGACCTTGGCTGTTCACCCTGTCCATGCCCCCCATGATTTTATAAACTTCTATAAGGTCACCCCCAAGCCTCCGATGCTCCAAGGAAAATAGCCCCAGCTTATTCATCCCCTCCCTGCAGGTCAAGTCCTCCAACCCTGGCAGCATCCTTGTAAATATTTTCTGAATCCTTTCAAGTTTCACAACACCTTTCTATGGCAGGGAGACCAGAATTGATCGCAGAACTCCAAAAGTGGCCAAATGACTTCTGAAATGGGAGTCTGTGTGGGCCTTGAATCTGTCCAGTCCTAGCTCTGTGCCTCCATTTTAACAATGTTTGTATTTTTTTTCACTGCTGTTGTCTCAGTTTCTCAGCAGCCCCTAAAAGGAGACAATAAGTTCTGTATCCAGAAACGCTTGTCCAGAATCCCTGTAGTCCACCCTGCAATCCCCTCTAACCACCATTAGACATAGGAGCTGAAGTAGGCCATTTGGCCCATCAAGTCTCCTGTGCCATTCAATGAGATCATGGCTGAACTGATAATCCTCCATTCTGATGCCTTTGCCCATTACTGGTTAAAAATTAGCCACTACCATTATGCCCTTCCCAAGTTACCCTATCACTGACAGCCCTAGAATCTCTCCACATCTCCTGTAATCTGCACACCCCTGCCTTGCTCATCCTGAACCCCCAGCGATCTGTCAACTTCACTGACCTCTCCACAGCAGTCACATTCGTTACATCTCTTCTCTCTCATCTCCTTCTCAAACACCTCATGTACTCTGATCCCACAGCTACCATGTTCAATCACCCTGCGATTAGTGCCTGAACATCACCTCGAATGCCATCACATCCCCATTAGCTCAATCTATCAATGGAGTCATAGGGTCATACGGCACGGAAACAGCCCCTTTGGCCCAACTCATTCATGTGGACTAGGTTTCCCAAACTAAACTAGTCCCACTTGCCTGTGTTTGGCCCATATCCCTCTAAACCTTTCCTATTCATGTACCTATCCAAATGTCTTTTAAACGTTGTAACTGTACCTGCATCTACCACTTTCTCTGACAGTTCATTCCACATATGAATCACCCTCTGTATGAAAACGTGGCCCCTCAGGTCCATTTTAAGTCTTTCTCCTCATCTTAAACTTATGCCGTCAAGTTTTGAACTCCTGCACCCCAAGGAAAAGACCTATTTGCCTTATCTGTGCCCATCATGATTTTATAAACCTCTATAAGGTTTATATTAGCTGTCTTCACTTCAGGGGAAAACATCCCAGTCTATCCAGCCTGTCCTTGAACCCCAAACCCTCCAGTCCCAGTATGTAAATCTTTTCTGTACAGTTTCCAGTTTAGTAACATCCTTCCTATAGTGTGGAGATAGAATTGTATGCAATTCTCCAGGTATGGCCATACCAATGTCTTGTACAGCCATAACATGAGCCTCAACTCCTGTACTCAGTGCACTGACCAATGAAGGCAAGTATGCCAAATGCCTTCTTCACCACCAGGTCTATCTGTGATGCCATACCCTGGAAACGAAATCCAACCAGAAATTCAATGTAAACATCCTCAACCGACAGTTGGTGGGAATATGGAGCTCACTACCAAAGTCAACAATTGAAAAAAATACAGAGGCATTTAAGGGGAACTTAGATAAGCTTTGGAGGGAGAGGGAAATGGAGGTTTACAATGATGGATTTAGATGAGAAAAGATGCAAGGTAGGTAAGTGTGGTGTAGTGGTAGTGTCACTGGGCTAGTAATCCAGAAAATTTGGTAATGTGCAGTGGACATAGGTGTAAATCCCATCATGGCAGAGGGTAAAATAAAAATCTGGTATTAAAAAGCTAGCCTTAAAAAAAGAACCTAACTGGTTACGTAATGCCCTTTAGGGAAGGAAATCTTGCCTGGTCTGGCCTACATGTGATTCTTAACTGTCTTCTGGGCAATTAGGGATGGACAATAAACATTGTACATCATCCATGAATGAGCAAAAAAACACAAACATCTGTAAAGACTTGATTGGGTTGAGTGGCCTCTGTCTGTGCTGTTATTCCAGATAATCAAAGCAATCAGTGAGATCACCCCCAACCACCCCACAAACCAGATCTGCACAACACTTACCCTCTCCACTGTGAGGTGAAGCAGTAACTGAAGGCTGGGATGGTGCCTGTTGACAGATTTTCAGAAATGCCACTCTATCATTCAGACACAGATCGTAAGATCACACAATAAATAGGAATAACAGCAGGTACCTTAGCTGATCCAACCAGAAAGATCCCATTTCGAAAACATTATTTCAGGTTTTTGGCTTGGATTGTAGTCGTTCATTCTTCATCTTAATCACACTTTGTATCCAAAGTTCTTGATTTCAGTCCAAGTCTTACCTTTAACCAGTTTGAACTCGTGCATTACATTGCTGGTTGAAGTATTTTTTTGGAGCTGCCTTCTCCCTGAGCTCCATTGGTTTGTAGCTTATCCACATTCACCTCAGTTACAAGATCAGCCTTTCCAAAGAGTAAGAAGGCAAACATCTTCCAGGTTTCCTTCAAACTTCAGTCATCTGACTTGATTCAGCAATCTGAACTTATTGCCCGTTCTAAAAGAATAAGAAATCTATTACCCAGTAAAATTGAAAAGGATGATGAGCAGCTTTTAGGTTCGTACTTCACCCTGTATGAATTTGGAGCAAATACAGAGAATGTTGAGATGTTGAATTTGGAGAACCATGGTCATTGTTTGGATGTGAATCTTTTAAAAGGAAAGTTGATATATTATTGGTATACTGAAAACAAAAAAAAATGCTGGAAATAACGGTGGGTCAGGCAGCATTTGGAGAGGAAGAGCAAGCTAACTTTTAGAGTCAGACTTGAAATGTTAACTTCCTCTCTGTCCATGGATGCTGCCTGGCCATCTGTGATTTCCTACAATTTTTGTTTTCAGTGCAGATTCTGTAATTTGCTCCTCCCATTGGTATATTGTTGTGTCGAGCTATTTATGTGTATTTTCTTTGTGTTTGCAGCAAAAACCGATGATGCCAAGGTGTCGGAAAAGGGCAGACTGTCTCCTAAATCAACAAGTGTCCATCGATCTCCTTCTGATGTAGGCCGTAGCAGTGGGGATGAAGGGAAAAAGCCTCCAGTTAGTTCCTCACGCTCAACTGCGGGAACCAACACCTTTGGGTTCAAGAAACATGGTGGATCTTCAGGACCAATCACCATGATTACAGCGAGTGGCGCCACGATTACCAGTGGTTCAGCAACTCTTGGAAAAATTCCCAAGTCGTCAGGCCTTATAGGTCGATCATCGGGGCGGAAGGCCAGTGTGGATGGCTCCCAGAGCACAGAGGAGAACTACCTGGTCTTGAATGCACGCAGCAACTTGCAGTACCGCAGTCTGCCTCGTCCCAGCAAGTCAAACTGCCGTGGCACTGGGAACCGCTCGAGCACCAGCAGCATAGACTCCAACCTCAGCAGTAAGTCGGCAGGTCTTCCCGTGTCGAAACTGAGAGAGCCATCCAAGGTAGCCCCGGGCAGCACAGTGCCTACACTACCTAACCAGACTGACAAAGAGAAGGGAGTGTCGTCTGACACAGAGAGCGTGACTTCATCCAACTCCATCAAGGCGAATCCCTCACAGAACGCAACCAACAGCACTTCGAGTACCCGGCAACAAGCATCCAAGTATCCTGACATAGCTTCCCCCACCTTACGCAGGCAAGTGATATGTTGCAGTGCAAGTTGGGAATATGTACGTGGTCAAAGATTTTCCAATTTTGACTTGCTACATGTCAATACTCATCTTTTAATCGATTCTAATGGGAAGTTTATCAATGTCTTTGAGCTGGAAGATTGCCTCACAGCCTTCAATCACAATGCATGCAGTGATGTACAGGTTGCATTCAGGGGGCAAATATTCCCCTGGCCTGTGAATAAGTTGCACTTGCAGTTTACACCTGTTACTTGCAATCTGTAGTCAGTGTTTAGGCTTTAGAGTGTTCCATAAACACTGGAGGGAATTCCATCTCTAACTACATGTAGTTAAACTACACGCACGCTCCTTATATTTATGCTCATGATCTCATCGCAATTTCTCTGAATCTTTCTCTGAACAGTTGATGTTGTAAGTAAGCAGCTCATTCTTGAGGGAGCCAGATCTCTGTTTAGCATTTAGGAATTTTTAGAAGGATATATTTTTTAAAAGGTGTAGTTTGCAAAATCTTGTCCTAGTGACTCCTTGATTCAGTGTCATATTTGCTCGATTTGATTGTAATTGTTTTAATTATACTATGGAATGTTTTATCAGTGATCAAGGTGCTATATAATTATAAATTGTCATTGTTTTTGTTGCCCTTTAAAGGTATCTGATGAACCTAATGTTTCAGATACACTGTGTGCACATGAGGTAGCTCTGCATGTCAATTCAATTCAAGTTTGTTTTTAAAAAATTACTTTTGTGTTAAGTTAATTGGTTACACCAGTACCTATTGCCTTCTCCAACTGCCCTTGAGGAGGTTGTAGTGTACAGCATATAGTGGCTTGCTGGGCCATGGGACTATAAGAGCAGGAGTAGGCCATTCAGCCCATCGACCCTGTTCCACTATTCATTGAGATCATGTCTCATCATCAACCCTTATGTCACTTTCTAGCCTGATCTCTATATCTCTTAATGTCATCGGTCTCCAGAAACCTATTGATGTCAGTCTTGAACATACTCAAATGATTGAGGTTTCACAGACCTCTGAGGTAGAGAATTCCAAAAATTCATCACCCTCGATGAGTAAAGAAATTCATTCACATTTCAGTCTTAAATGGCCTACTCCCTATTCTGAGATCGTATCCTGCAGTTCTAGACTCACTAGCCAGGGGAAACATCCAATCTGTATCCACCCTGTCACAGCCTATAAGAGGTTTTGTACTTTTCAATGAGATCATATCTCATTCTTTGAAATTCTGAAGAATACAGGCCTAATTTCCTCACAGGACAGTCCCCCCATCCCAGGGATTATTCTGGTGAATGGTCATTGCACTCCATTTAGGGCAAGTGTATCCGTATCCCAAAGTAGTAATCCGACTGGATTAATAAAATCACTGGGCTATTAATCCCGAACCCTGGGCTAATGCCCAAGGGATATGGGTTTGAATCCTACTTTGGCAGATGGTGAAATTTGAATTCAATAAAAATGTGGAATTAAAAAGCTTGATGTAGTCTCAATCCATTGTTGTAAACCCTCAACTGGCTCACTAACGTCTGGTAAGGAAAGAAATGTGGCGTACATGTGACTCCAGAGCCATAGCAATATGGTGATTCTTAATTGCCCTCTGAAATAGTCAAGTGAGCCACTCAGTTCAAGGGCAATTAGGGATCGGGAACAAATGTCAGTTTAGCCCATATCCCATGCAAAACAGTGACCCCAGTGGGATTTGAATTTGTCTCCAGAGGGTTCTTCCAGGTCTCTGGAGTGCTAGGTCGCTGCTGTTACCACTAAGCTGTGGGCAAAGATTTTGTTAAAAATAATTCTTCAATGTATACACCAATGAAGGTGGTGCTCCATTTAACCTCAATTCCACCTCTCGGAGTTCAGATTAATTTGAATGTTGGATTAAATAAATTCCAAATTATCAACTAATTTGATTTAATCAGTTCAAAAAAATGATAGGAATCTGTTGTTGAATAATTCAGTGATTAATTTAAGTAACCTCGAATTAGGAAATGTAAACTGTATTTCCAGTATAATTTCCATTCCATCATTAGTGGGAAGGCTGTGGTGTGGTGTTAACGTGACTGGACTAGTAATTCAGTAATCCCAGCCTAATTTTCAGGGCACATGGGTTTGAATCCCAACATGGCAGATGGTGAAATTTGAATTCAATTTAAACAAACAAATCTGGAATGAAAAAGCTAGTCTAATAATGATCATTGAACCAAGGTTGATTGTCATAAAAAAAAATTTGCTCCTTTAGGGAAGGAAGTTACTGCCCTTATTTGGCATGGGCTACAACTGACTCCAGACACGTAGCAATGTGGTTGATTGTTAATTGCCCTCTGGGCTATTAAGTGTGGGCAATAAATGGTGGTCGAACCAAAAGTGCCCACATCCCATATAGGGAGAGAATCAATTGAGACCCGAGTACATGAGCTGTCTGGGATTCCATTTGCTTTGTTCAGAAAATGAGGCGTTGCCAAAGTGTGCACACAATTTGCAGATGGCCTCATAACGTGTTTGTCTGGCCAAAATTCCAATGTTGTGCATGGCGGAATGAGAACCTTTGAACAGTGCCGGTGTGAGCTCCTGATCAGTGGGAGGAAAACTTTGTGTTAACACTTTGCCTACAGTCACTGGTGGAAACAGGAACTTGAGCTCATACAGTTTTCATTTAAAGTATAGATGTTGCAAGTTTAAACATTTTTAAAATGTTGGAGAAACACAGTCGGTTTTGTCTCCACTGCAGAAAGTGAGCTATACAGCTGTGTTTATCATAAGGTAATCAGGGCGTTATATCATAGATTGGCACTTTTTTATGTGCTATATGCATTACAATGGTCTTGACAAAAATGACTTTAAAAAAAATTGAAAAAATTGTGTGGAAACTATGAGCACATCCCAACTAACAGGGGTTCAGGAGTTCACCAGCTCTGAATTTAAAGTTTGGGGGGAGATTAGAATTGAAATGCATTGGTTACCATGACCATTGGCTGATTTTTCTTCCATCCTGTTAAGACAGAAACAGGGCTGTCAGAAACACAGATGGAAGGCAAGGGGTGGCCTTTGAATAGCTACCACTACCCTTGCCTCTGACTCACCCAACACCCCTTCTTTCAATGATCCCACCTCACAACACGAAGGTAAAAGAAGACTTAGCTTCATGCTGCTGGATCTCCCAATGAACAGGCGCTGTACAGGTGGACTTTAAGACCCAGAGACTGCTGGCCTGTGTTTAGCTGGCAACTTCATGTTGAGGCCTGTGATAGGGTGGGAAACTCACCTGATCTCTACACATCATCTGTTCGTAGCTGGTTGGTGCATGATGCAGTGAATTCTCTCATCAGTGGAAATGGCATGTCGGTCTCCATCTCACATGCATGCCCCAACTAAAAGTGGCAAAATTACACCCGATGTTTTTCGCAGTCATTTCATGATGAGTTTCACAGTCTTGTACACATTTCACTGAGTCCATATTGTTACAAAAAATGTTCCGTGGGCAAGTATTTCTGCTTTTGCAATGCAGAGAATAAAATCGTTCCTTCAAACTGGGAAGGCAGAAATTCTCTCTGCTCCTGCATTATAACCGTTAGCCTGGAAAATGTTAAATAATTCATGAATTTAGATAGAGTATTTTAGTGTATAAAAGGAATTGATGATATCTTGATGATACTTGAAGTCTCTTGAAGATAAGAACATCCATATGAAAAAGGGACACTTGCCCTTCGGACCTCCTCCACCATTCAATAAGACCATGATTGATCTGATTTTAACCTCAACTCTACATTCCTGCATCCTCAATAATCTTTCACCCCCATAGTATTCAAGAATCTATCTACTTCTGTCTTACAAATATTGAACGATTCTGCACCCGCTACCTTTTGAAGAAGAGAATTTGAAAGACTCACAACCTCAGTGAGAAAAAAATTCTTTTTTGCCTCTGTCTTAAATGGGCGACCGCTTATTTTTCTCCCACAAAAGAAAACATCTTTTTGGCATCTACCCAGTCAACTCCCCTCAGGACCTGATATGTCTCAATGACATCACCTCTGACTCTTCTAAACTCCAGAGGATACAGGCCTAGCCTGTCTAGCCTTTCTCAAAGATATTTCTTTGCCACATCCATCAAACACACATTTCAACAAGCAAATCTATAAGCTGTAACTTGAAGTTAAGTATCACTATCAACACCTGTCAAAAGCTAAGCAGTTTAAAAAGAGAGTTGAAAAACAATATTACCTCAACAATAAGCATCACCAGAAGCTTGGAACAGTTTTTGAGTATGGGAGAACCAAAATAAACAAATCTGTTGTATTCTACATTACTAGCAGCATTGTCACATTCAACTCCCAGGATTCCTTCATTAAATGACCATACAATTGGAATTTTGAAAGGAACCCTGTTGGAAAACTGAAGTGAGAATGATTAATATGTTGTGGGTAACTTGATAGCTGACTAAAATAATTTGGAAAATTAAAATGATCTTAGCATCTTATCATTATGAAACTGGCTCTTAATGGCTAGGGTTCTGTTTTCAATTCTGCCACATTTAATATTACAACCCATTTATGATTCACTTTTTGTTTAACAGCTGAAGCTTTTGCATGCAAGAAACGTATTGCCAGATATTGATATTAATCATCCTATCTTGTTTTGTCTAGTTCTTACAGCCATTATAGTTGTCTCCTGTGTTCCACTTAAATCCTACACTTGTTTTGACTATTTGTCAATCTACATGCATTTCTTTGAGCTATCTGTCCGTCTTGTGCAATGTGTCATCTCCTTCCAATATGCAATCACTCTTTATCAACTATCATTCTCCTTTTCTTAATTTTCGAACGTTCTCTTTGTACACTTGCTTGCTTCCACTCAGCCTGTATTTTGTTTCTCACGTGAGCGACTTTCTCATGCTGTTTTCTTTTCTATTCTGCCTTTTTTGAAAGTCTGACCTTTGTTCACCCAGGTATTGTTCTGTTCCTGAACAGCCCGGAGCAGCCTTTAATCTCCAAATGTTGCCAAAGAAATATGTTCCACACTGTGTCCATTAAGTACTTAAACATAAAGTAGAAGCTGACCTTTAAAATGCTATTTATCTTAGTTATTTCAACTATGATCAATAAATTAAAGAGCTTGTTGATTAATATGAAAGTTAGAATTGAAAATGCACCAAAATATGTGTTTCTGAAGTCAATTAGCGGTATGTGTTACATTTCTTTAAATTTTCTGCACTAAACACTGCTGTATACATATAATAAAACATTTACATGTTGCTATTTGTGAGAATTTATCATGTGTGCATTGATTGCTGCATTTCCTGCAGTAGCAACAAAACTTCAAAAGTAATTACCTTTGTAAAATCCTGAGGTTGCAAAAAGCACTATATAAACATAGCGTTTTTAGATAAAAGGGATATAGGTTCAAAAACTAAAAACAGATCTTGCTTTAATTTGTTTTATTGATAATTCACACATCCTTGTAACAATTGCAGCGATCCTGTATCAGTCAATGTTCAACAGATTAAAACAAAACTCATAAAATTTGCAGCAAACTAAGTTGAATATTTAAGTGACAAAACTTTTTATATATATTCATGGATCACTTTAACATTTGCACCTCACCATTATCTAGGTTAAATTACTTTGGTGAAAAGTCTTTCAGTTCATCTATCAGCACTTCGTTAAAATAATAATGGATTGAGAGGATTAGGTATTATGTTCTGTCTAGACGTCAGGCAAAACTAGCACGTCTTTGAAAAAAGTACTTAATCATTTTAACAAAGAACTGTTGGAAAATGCCAAGAGTTATATTGGCACTTCTCAGCTGTGCTGTTCTATAAACTGAACTTTTTTTCCACACTCTGTGTGCCTCCAGGTGTTTTTTTCAACAGAAACAATAGTATATTGTTGTAGAAATTAAAGCTATCACTTATCTTTCTCATTTGCAATTTTTTAAAACAGACTGTTCGGGGTCAAGCCAAGCACCAAGCAAGGTCCTGTCACAACAGCTGAAAACATGAAGAACTCCACAGTCATTTCCAATCCTCATGCCACCATGAACCAGCAGAACAGCCTGGACTCTCCTCCATCCTGTTTAGGCAGTGGAGGCAGCAGCCCACTTTACAGCAAGACAACAGACATGATACAGTCGCCTTTGGCATCCAGTCCGGCGTCAGTCCATTCCACAAATTCAAATGGTGCACCGTGGGGTGTCAGTCAGAGCAGTTCTTCCACCATAAGTAAGGATGGTCCTGGCTATCAGTCAGTCAACAGTCTACACACGAGCTGTGAATCCATTGACATCTCCCTCAGCAGTGGAGGCGGTCTAAGTCATCACAACTCAACCAGTGGCTTGATCCCTTCTTCCAAAGAAGATTGTCTTACTCCCTTTGTGAGGACTAACAGCATTAAGACAGCTATGTCTGAGAGGTAGGAAACACAGGGTGTATTTTTTTTTTGAAACTTTATAGATTTGCAGCAATCCTATTTTTACAAGTGAGCAATCCATGTGGTAGTTTTAGGAAGACGGAATGCTTGATGGATTCCCCCGATAGATCATTTACTTACGTCACCTGTCTATTTAGTATGTCTCTGGTGTTGTCTTTTTCCTACTTCCTATTTAACTTGCTTGAGTAAAAATTTTAATTTGCTCAACTTTTATTTACTAATTTTGTAAAGCAAAATGTCTTCACAACTTTGAGATATGAGTTTATCTCAGTTTCCCTCGTGTTTTGAATCAAAATTTAAACTTTTTTAGGTGATAACTGTTGGACAGAATGAGGCTGTGATGATAACCCTGACCCACTGAATAGTCTTCCCTGAAAATCATGGAGACTTTGAGGAGTACAAATGATTGAAGATTAATGGAAAAGATTGGACTTAAGACTTGACAGAAAATGAGAAATTTGTGGTTGTTAGCAGTGGGAGAACATCAGGAGAAAGAAATAATAATATATACTTAATGAAGTCTCAAGGAGTTAATCCCCAGGCTGAAAAATTGTCTCATGTTATTGTGCCACCCAGGATGTCATGAGAGACATGATGCTAAATTTAGATGCTAGAGCATTCACATCACTTCAGATTTTGGCAGATACTACTTGATGGTGCATGTCTGAAGCACATCAACTTTAATGTTAGCCCAATGCTAATGACATTGGGGTGTAAATTTGTATTGGATAAAGGATCAGAAAGCTTTTAAACATGATAGTCAATTCACCATTGCCCACTTTGGGCTACAGACTAGCAACTAATTTGTACCCCATTATTTTGTGCTTGTCAGCTTTAAATCTCCGCAAGGTGAATAGTTAAAAGGAGACTGAGATTATTGGATTTCCTTAATTGTAAATTTTAACTTGCAAGTCATTTTATGTATTGTAGGCCACCTGAATATCATGATAAATATAAATAAAAATCTTGCACATCCACGTTGATGGAGCTCTGAAAGATATCACACCTCCAATGTGTAGCAGATGGTAGATTTTAAAAAATTAGCCCTCAATTGAGTGCTGTCTGTTAAGTTAGATATGTCAAGGAGTTTGAATGTCCAGTTGACTGACTCAAGTTTATAATAAATTAATTGGGTAGCGATAAGTCTAAAGATTTAATTGGCCCTTGTTTTATATGCTACCATATTCAGTGCAGAACGTGGGTGGTATTATCTACTCCTGGAGTTGATGGGCTTGAAGGAAGGAACGGTCTTCATTAGACAGGATAGTGACATACCCAAACTCTTCCATCTTCCCACTTCCACCAGAATTAGGATCCTGTGGGAAGGCCAATGGTTGACCAACCTGCACCCTCTCACCACCCCCCCATTGCCAGTTGATGCCCATAAGTGACCAGAGAAGGATCACTTAATGTTCATAGTCACCATTGTTGTGATTGACCCAGCTGCAGATACCATATGGTGCCTCTGATAGTTGCTGCCCTGTAGGAGGGATTTGGTGACGTGCCCTCTCACTCAAAGGCAGTCAGTGTCTGATTGAACAACTAGACATTAGGGAGATGTATACAAACATGGGAGCATGACCTGACCTTGCTTCACACCACGTTCACCAGCACACCAACCTCCCCACCCCACCCCCACCAATACCCCCATCCCCACAACCCGCAACCCAAGAAACCCCAAATCCCAGAGGTATCACGGTTCAGAGGAAGCCATTCAGCCCATTATACTTAGTACCACTGTCCTGCCTTTTCCCTGTAACCTACACACATTGTTTCTGTTCAAATAAGGATCCACTGCCCTCTTGACTGCCTCCGTTGAACCTGCCTCCTCCATATTTCCAGGCAGTGCATTCAAGGCCCCAACCACTTGTTGTGTGAAAATGTGACGTCTCATCACAAGCCCTCACTGCCTCACACATCACTTACCTTGATCCGATTTCTTAATACAGCTGTGGGATGGGGCCATCATTTTCTCCGTTCAATGTTTAATGTTCATTCACTCGTCCATAGTTGCCCTTTGAGAAAGTGATAGTGAGCTGCCTTGTTGAACTGCTGCAGCCAATGGGTGATAGACAGAGCCACAATCCTACACCAATCCACCATCCTGAGACTTGAGGGATGGGGCGGGGGAAGATGCTGTACCGGCAGCACCCACAACCTCTTTGGGCCACTGTTGTGCGCAGGAGCTGCTGCCCTCTGATTGGCCATTAGCTCTCACTGACCCATCCACCCTGCAGGGGTCTTGATTCCAGACGAAAGGTCCATTGATGTTCTCACCAATGCCTGATTAGTGTGTGCCATGGCGGAAACAGCAGCGTAGCTCTCTCACCAACTCTCCAACTGGTAGACCAGTCCCCTGATGTGTCTCAACAAACACTCTGTGTCACTATTAAAAAAATCAACAGATCTGTTCAGCAACCTTAGCACTGATTTGAGCTAATGGCTATGTATGTGTAAAACCTACACCCTCATCAGGGTTATGCATGTGTCTGAGGAAATCGTACACCTACTGTCCTTAACTCTGATTAGAAATGCTCATTCAGTGTCACTCGGTCAAAACTCCCTCCCTAACAGCATTAAGGGCATACTCATAATAAATGGACTGCAGTATTTCCAAACGGCCGCTCACCACAGCACTTGATGGGCCAAATGACATCCTCCTGCACCAGATCAATTCTGTGGTTCTGCAATTCATAAGGGCAATTAGGCATGGACAAAAAATGCCAGCCCCTCCAACGACACCCACAACCCATAAATTAAATAGAAAAGGTACCCAGATTGAAAATGTTTACCTTCATACTGGTCTGTTGCTTCCTGTGGACCTGAGGCTATATTTTCATGGGGCTCCCACACCTATTGATTTGTTTAACTAAGCTTATTTTCCAATTTTTCCATAGTTTGAAGCATGTGGCATTTCAGTTTACATCCTGTAATGAGTAAGAGGTTGCCCGTTGTCAGGCCACTGAGCCCACAGCCAATGTGCAACCCTCACCTCACCCGAGTGTTACTGTACAGCAGGCCACCGTGTCCACTGGTCGTTCACCCCACTGCTGTCAGGGGAACAGCTTCATTCTACCCAACTCACCCATGCAATCACACTCCAACTCTTGATAGTGCCAAGCTGTTGCCCAGTCCCCCATACCTTCCATCTCTTGGCTCTGTACATTGCTATTTATGTGCCAGCATTCCTTCAACAATTCCAGAATGATCATTGCATTTAACAAGTTCCACGTGAGTCAAAACTTCTTTCCATCAATTACTTGTTTCTAAATTTACAAATTTTCCCTTTTCAGTAGTTTATTGAATTAATTTTCTGATCTCTTGCTATGTTGTAGTGTTGAAATTGGAAATTTTAAATGAACCAAATGTCTAATTTTGCTGTTGGATGTAGATGTAATTATTCTTGGATCTGCTAATATTGTTTATCTTTTCTCATTTCTTTCTTTCCTGTGTGTTAATCTATCTTTTCTTCTTTGTTCTTCCCTTCACTGCTTGATTCCACCCATAGCCCTCTCTCTTCCCCTACTGCTAGTCCCAAATTCAACAGAAATACATTACCAAGGAAACAAGACAGGTAATGCTAATGAATCAGATAAATAGTTTGGTCGAAAGCGTCCGTGATTTCAAGGATCATCTGTGTTCATCATTAACTCCTTGGCAAAACCTGCTCCCAGTGTTCTAAAATGGTACAGTTTAGTCCTAAGCTTGTAACATGTCAACATCAACCACAAAAGTTTCATCTTGTGTTTTGTTTGAGCAATGTTGTTTCTTAAATGGTGTATTGACTTTTAAAACAAATATTAAGATTAGGTTCCACTGTGCTTGAAATGAAAGGGCTATCATAACCTTTATGTAATAATTATTCCTGTGAATGTAGATTTGAGTAGAGCTCTAATAAATAGGTGACACTTTGAGTAAACTTTGTTTTAAATGGAAAATAGTTTGAATGTGGCACACAAGAGATTCTCTTAATTCTATTCCTATCTTCACTCAATTTTCCAGGTAGGAAGTGGTCAGGATTGTTGTATTTTTGATTCCAGTGCTCTTCGATTAGGAATAAGGCCAAATCAATATGTGTTCCTTTTCCGATCGTTATCCTGTGACTTTTACTGGAAAGGTCTGACAACTGTCATGAATCAAGACAGGATGGTAGCATTCACTGAGCTGATAACTCGAAAGCGGACCAATTAAGCAGAATGCAAGAGTGACTGAGCCTGTGGAGATTAGTTCGAGCATAAGGAGCGAAAAGTAAATGGAAGTGGGATGCAAAGGGTGGAGGGGCGGTGATTCGTGAAGAGGGTAATGGTACAAAGACTAGTTGCCCTTGTTTTAAAATACGACATTTTAAAATAATTAACATTATTGCTGCCGACAGCAAATTGTGCCTGCATTTGTACGTTAGTGACCTGGAATACTTCCCAAATATTAATTATTCCTTGACTTTTTAAAAGTGGACATATTTATTGGAAAAAAAAGAAATCAAATCAAATCAAGTTGACGTGTTCCACCCAATTATTTCCCTTAATCCTAAACTTAATCTTAGGTGATCCTTGATACATGGTCCAATCGTATCCAGAATTTTGGTCGCTAGCATGTCACCGTGGTATGCTAGTGAGAAAACACATGTCCATGTACGAGTTGCTGATGGGAATTGCCAAGAGAATGTTCTGCTTCACAGGCAAAATAACCTCTTTCATTTTAAAATGGAAACTTATCAAAATGCAAATATTTGTGAATTATCCTGTGAACAAATTGAAGCTTCAGGTCCTCTGTAATGTTCTAAAAGTTCTAAACATTAGGGAAAATGTTTGCAATGTTTGAACTTGAGCAAGATTATCTTAAGGCCAAAGAACTTTATATCTATCTAATATTAGTTGGAATCCTCTGCATCCATTGGCTTGTCCTCACTTTCCACCTCCACTTGACACTACTACATGTTCTGTGTTATTCCCCTTCATTGTCACAGAATAAAGATACAAGCCATGTTTGTGCTATTGCTGTCAGATTATTAGTTGCTAGGTTACAAACGAGAACAACCTGGTATATTTCTCTTCACGGTGGCCTTTCACTTCTGACCATTATTCTCAGCAAAGGTCAAGGTGAGATTTTGGAACTTGGCATGCCATACACGCTTGGCACATACCTGCACATCCATCTTTCATACCGAATATTTCTCAATTCTATTTGCCATCATTGACTTATCGCTGAGTTGCTGTGTTCGGCTGATGCTTCAAAAAGAAATGGTAACCATATGGTGTACCTGTAAACCAGCTTACAGCTTCGAATTCCCATGTCGTATTTTTGCATCAGCAATTCCCTCTCGCCCTCTTAACGTGTTTTTTTTAAGGATCTAGAGATATTTTATGATAAAGATCCACTACCTTTGCTAGTGAGGAGGAAGGTGAATATGAAGAGCTGAAGAACAGACTGTTTTGATTCAAATAATGCCGCATGCAAATATGTGGTTTAATTGTCACATAATGTTTTGCAGGCCCTGCATTATGTTTGTTAATTAATAAGTGAAGCAGGGCAAAGGGACGTGGTGGTGTAGTGGTAATGTACTGGGCTAGTAATTTAGAGACCCGACCACAGGGGTTTAAAGCTTGCCAAGAATTAAAATCACATTTAATTGTTACAATGAACCCATGTAGTTTGCAAATGACCTTTAGGGAAATCTGCCACCCTTACACGGTCAGACCTGCATATGATTCTGGACCCGCAATGATATGGTTAACTTTTAACTTGCCTCCAGTCAGTTAGGATTGGGAAGTAAATTCACATCCCATCAACAAATAAATGAAAAGGAGTTATTTGTCAGGTCCTTTCCAATTGTAGTAGTGCCCCTTTCAATTTTACAACAGTCTTGTGCCACTGCCTTCTATTTCAGAAAGAAAAGTTGTGAAACATTAATAAACAGGCATTGTAACTAGTTAAACATAACTTACTCAAATCCTTGTCTTTAAATGACTAACAATCATCGATTGTCACTGAGCCATTTAATCTTAGAAGATTGACTGAGAAGCAGCGTGTTTGGCACTAATGTTTTTTGAAGTAATGCCTGAATTATCTATATGTGCAATCACACTAGTATTCCCTTATGTGGATTGCTTAACCATGGCATACCAATGTTTATATACATCAAAGCTGATGCCTTGCCAATTCTAAAACTGAGTTTGTGTGTCTGAGTGTATGTATGTGTTGTATAAATTTGTAATGTATGTGTACATGTGTTGTATGTGTCTGTGTAGTGTATATCTATGTGTTTGCATATGTACTTTGTGTCTGTGTAGTGTCCAGTGTTATATGTGTATGTGAGTATAAAATGTGTTTGTCTATGTGTATACAGTATGTGTGTATTGTGTGAGTAGTCTGTGAGCATGTGTGTGTAGTCTCTTTGTCTGTGTATTTATAGTCTATGTGTATCTGTGTATCTGTGTATGGGAGTAGTTTGTCAATGTGTATACAGTATGTGTGTGTTGTGTGAGTAGTCTTTGAGTGTGTGTTTGTGGTGTTGAGAAATGGATTTCCTCTGGGTCTTTTTGTGTGTGCAAATTCTTAACAGTGGCTTACTTATATGACATCAAGGTGTAGAGCTGGATAAACACAGCAGGCCAAGCAGCATCAGA